AAGTAATATATACTTCCCCATTTCCTCTCCTGCTTTATTTTTAAAAATTATGAGAATATACCTGAGGGACTTTCAACAATTATATTTTGTAAAGCTTTTGCAAAATATTAATTGTTTTTTCCGTTGGTGTACATTGATTAGGAATTATGTTTGACTGCATGTAAACAGAGTCTTTATTGCAGCAGTTAAATTCAGTGGGGTTTCATACTGCTTAAGGGAATTATACATCAACAAGACATAACAATTGTAAATATTTATGCCCCAAACAATGGAAGATATACTTATATCAAACAAACCCTTCTCAATATTAAGAATCAAATAAACTACAACACGATAATACTGGGTGACTTTAACATGCTCATCAAACAAAGACTAAATGAAGAAGCTATAGAACTAAAAAGTATAATTAATAATTTAGACTTAACAGACATATATAGAATATTTCATCCATGAATGACTGAATAAACTTTCTTATCAGTAACACAGATCTTTCTCTAAGGTAGACCATATATTAGGCCACAAAGCAACTCAGCAAATACAAAAAAAAAAAAAAAGAGAGAGAGAGAGAGAGATAATACCTTTCATTCTATCTGGTCAAAATGGAATGAAATTAAAAATCAATAATAATAGAAGCTACTCTAACACCTGGAGACCAAATAATACACTATTAAAAGACCAATGGATAGCAGAAATAGGGATGAATTTAAAAAAAATACTTAGAGGTAAATATTAACAGCAATACAACTTGTGAAAATCTCTGAGATTTTGAAGGCGGTTCTGAGAAGAAAGTTCATTGCATTGAGCTCATTCATTAAAATAATAGAAAGCCGCCAAACAACCTAACATTACATCTAAAAGCCCTAGGAGAAGAAAAACAAATCAACATCAAAAGCAGAAGACAGAAAAATAGTTAAAACCAGAGCCTAAATTGATGAAATTGAAACAAACAATCAAAAGATCAATGAGACAAAAAGTTGGTTCTTTGAAATAAATAAATTCATAAATCCCTAGCCACGCTAACAAAGAGAAAGAGAGAAAACTCAAATTACAAAAATTTGCAATGAAAAAGGAAATATCACAATGGACACTACTGAAATCCAATAATAATGAGAAGCTATTTTGAAAATTTATACTCCAGTAGAATAGAAAATCTTGAAGACATAAACAAATATCTAGAGGCATAGGACCTACCGAAATGGAATCAGGAAGGCGTAGAAAATTTAAACAAACCAATTTCAAGAATGAAATAGAAGATGCTATCAAAAGCCTATCAATAAAGGAAATCCCAGGATTAGATGGATTCTATAAGACCTTCAAAGAAGAACTAATACAAATCCTCCTCAAATTATTCCATGAAAGAGAAAAGGGGGAGAACCCTTTAAAACTCATTCTATGAAGCTAGTATCACCCTGATATGAAAACCAAACAAAGACACATCAAAGAAAGAAAACTTCAGACCAATATCCCTGATGAACATACATGCAAAAATTCTTAATAAAATACTGGCAAATTGCATACAAAAACATTAAAAACAGTGCACCGCGATCAAGTGGAGTCCATCCCAGGGATGCAAGGCTGGTTCAACATACAGAAATCAATAAATGTAATTCGTCACATCAATAGACTTAAGGTCAAGATTCACATGATTATCTCAACAGATGCAGAAAAAGCATTTGACAAAATACAGCATCCATTCATGAGCAAAACACTAGAAAAACTAGTGATAGTCGGAACTTATCTCAACATTATAACAGTTTTATATGCTAAACTCAAGGCCAACATCATTCTAAATGGAGAAAAATTGAAAGCATTCCCTCTAAAAGCTGGAATAGACAGGGATGCCCTCTTTCACCACTTCTATGCAACATAGTCCTTGAAATTCTAGCCAGAGAAATTATAAGAAATTAAAGGATACAAATAGGAAAAGAAGAGCTCAAACTATTACTATTTGCCAGTGACATGATTATATATTTAGAAGATCCAAAAACTTTCACTAGAAAACTTCTAGAACTCATAAATGAATTCAGCAAAGTAACAGGATATAAAATTAACACTTATAAATCAATTGCATTCCTATACATCAATGATGAATCAACTGAAAGAGAAATTAGGAAAACTATACCATTCATAATAGCCTCAAAAAATAAAATATTTGGGAATCAATCTAACAAAAGAGGTAAAAGACCTCTACAATGAAAACTACAGAACTCTAAAGAGAGAAATTGAAGAATACCTTAGAATATGGAAATATCTATGTTCTTTCATAGGCAGAATTAATACTGTCAAAATGTCCATACTACCAAAAGCACTATATAGATTTAATGCAGTTCCTATTAAGGTTCTGATGACTTTCTTCATAGAAATAGAAAAAGCAAGTCTTGAAATTCATTTGGAAATATTAGAGGTACAGAATAGCCAAAGAAATCCTCAGCAAGAAAAGTGCTATAGCAGGCATCACAATATCAGACCTTAAACTATAATACAGAGCTGTATTAACAAAAACATCATGGTACTGGCACCAAAACAGACATGAAGACCAGTGGAATAAAAGACACGGAGACAAACCCATATATATACAGTTATCTCATACTAGACAAAGGCACCATGAACATACACTGGAGAAAAGATAGCCTCTTCAACAAATGGTGCTGGAAAAACTGGAAATCCATATGTAACAAAATGAAATTAGATCCCTATCTCTCACCCTGCACAAAAATCAACTCAACGTGGACGTAGGCATTAGACAAGAGATCCTGCTCCTGCACTTACTAGAAGAAAATGTAGATCTAATTTTTCATCATGTTGGCTTAGGAACTGACTTCCTCAACAAAACTCCTAAAGTGTGAGAAGTAAATCAAGAATCAATAACTTGAAATGTGATGGTATGGGATAGTATCAAACTAAATAGATTCTTCATAGCAGAGGAAACAATCAATAACATGAAGAGAGAGCCTACAGAATGGGAGAAAATCTTTACCACCAGCACCTCAGAGCATTAATCTCCAGGATATACAAAGAACTTAAAAAATGTAACACACACACACACACACACACAAATCCAGTCAATAAATGGACAAAGGAACTGAATAAGTACTTCACAGAAGAAATATGAATGGTCAACAAATATATGAAATGAAAAAGTGTTCAACATCTCTAGCAATTAGAGAAATTCAAATTAAAACTACACTGAGATTTTATCTCACTCCAGTCAGAAAGACAATTATCAAGAATACAAGTAACAATTTTGTGAAGGCTGTGGGGGAAAAAGTTTAACTCATATGTTGCTGGTGGGAATGCAGATGGTGCAACTACTCTGGAAAGCAGTACGGAGATTCCTCAGAAAACTTGGAAAGGAACCACCATTTGACCCAGTTATATACCATTTGGTATATACACAAAGGACTTAAAATCAGCGTACTCCAGTGACACAGCCACATCAATATTTATAGCAGTTTAATTCACAATAGCAAAACTTTGGAACCAACCTAGGTTCCCTTCAACAGGTGAATGGATAAAGAAAATGTGGTATATATACACAATGGAATATTACTCAGCCATAAAGAAGAATAAATTTTGATATTTACCAGTAAGTTGATGGAACTGGAGATTATCATACTAAGTGAAATAAGCCAATCCCAATGGGTAGAGTTAGAGAAGATAATGCTAAGTAAAGTTAGCCAATCCCAAATAACCCAATGCCAAATGTTTTCTTGGATATAAGGAGGCTGATTCATAGTGGGATAGGGAGAGAGGGAGCATGGGAGGAATAGATGAATTCTAGATAGGGCAGAGAGGTTGGAGGGGAAAGGATGTTGCATGGGGTTAGAAATGATGGTGGAACATGATGATCATTATCATCCAAAGTACATGTATGAAGACACAAATTGGTGTGAATATACTTTGTATACAACCAGAGATATGAAAAATTGTACTCTATATATGTAATAAGAATTGTAGGGCTGAGGTTGTGACTCAGTGGCAGAGCGCTTGCCTCGCACATGTGAGGCACCGAGTTTGATCTTCAGCACCACATAAAAGATAAATAAACAAAATAAAGATATTCTGTCCATGTATAACTAAAAAAATATTTAAAAAGAATTGTAGTGCATTCTGTTGTCATATATAAATTTTAAAAAGAGAGAGAGAGAAAAGAAAAATAAGCCAATTTCAAAAAAACAAGGCTGAATGTTCTCTCCAATGTGTGGATGATAATATACAATAAGAGGGGACAAGGGAAGAATAGAAGTTCATTGGTTTAGACAAGAGAAATGAAGTTTAAACTATGTTTTATTCAAACATAGTAAAAAAATTGTTGCTATTACTATTTACATAGTAAAAAAAAAATTTGCTATTACTATTTCAAAGGTTTAAGGCAGGAGTTTCAAGACCAAGAAAACAATCCAATCCAAAATGTATTTAAAACCCTGACATAGTGTTTTTAAAATTTCTTTTTAAATTTAAATAACTTTCAGTAGAGTGTGTACTATAGTTATATTACAACCCCGTCCTTCACTGTTAGCTTCTAAATCCACTCAGTTTATGTGTTTATATTACATGCTAGGCCCTATAGGGTAATTTAGACAGATACACACGTGTAGTTAGGATGATTTCATATGCATTAAAGCCCAGGTATCTAATTTGTATGTAGTCCTAGACTCTGGGGAGAAAAGAAGTAAACCACTTAACCTCCTGCTGCCACCCTTTAATTGTCATTGTCAGTAAGTTTGCATTTCTTTGTTACTGAAACTGACTTAACTAATTCAATGTACTTATCTTTGTATCTAAAAGTTTCTTTTAGTCTGCTTTTTATAGATTAAATTAGTATTAGAGCAACAATTTTTTTACTATGTTTGAATAAAACATAGTTTAAACTTAGTTTAAACTTTGTTTTCCATATAGAAATATGGGCAATATTCCCTCTGTTTTTGAAAGAAAAAAGTAGGGTATCATGATTTGTCACAGATAAATTTTCAGTGTCTTTTTTTTTCTTCCCTTAACAGACTTTGCTTCGTCCTCTTCAAGCTTTATGCTCTTTCCAACTTCAGCATGGTGCTCAAATTCGCCTCAGCAAGGAATATCTTCTGAAAAGATGGATTATATCCCAAGCCAATGCCAAGGAACAAACGCAAACTCAGGAAAATGGAACTGTTAATGAATAGTGTTAAAATTTAGTACAAATTGTTCTTATGGTGCTAGATTACCTGACTTTACCAGGCAATACCATGTTATGTTTTGATACAGTTTAGGCCTGTGTGTTTCTAACTGTAAAGAATGAAGATTGATATTAATCTTGTTGGAAAGAAGGAAGTAAAGCAAATAGCCATAAAAACAACATAAAAAAATTTCACTGACTCTGAAAATTAAAATTTCATACTGTATTTGTTTAAAAAAATATGCCTCTACTACATTTTTTAAATCCAAATTTAAAATATGACTAGTTATAGAACTAGGCTTCGAAGTCCTCATTTTTAAAGTGGAAGAAATTGTGCCTAATTGAAACAGTATTGTTCCATTAATATTTCTGGGTAACTAGGTGTAGGCCAATAATGGAATGCATCCTGTACAAGGCAAAAGAAAGTAATTATAATCAAGTAGTTTAAATCAAATTTTTATTTCACGAAAGAGTATAAAACAATAAAAAAACTTTATTCTATAGAAACTAAACCTCAACTCAGCCAACGTGATTTAAGTATTCTGAAAATTGCCTGAATTTTTAAAGAGATGCATGTTATTTTGAAATAGCATGTATTCTCATTTGTTATTCTGGATAAATTTAGATTTATTAGTATTCATTGAACAGGTTTATTGACTAACTGATAAACTAGGTTTTACTAAGTTCCCATATAGAAATAACTGAAGTAGAATATTACACAACCATTATTTTAAGAACACATATCTGTAAGTAAGGTTATTTAAAACTGTTTTAATGAGTGAAACTTTCTATTTGAGACATCAAATTGCTCCCCCCCCCCCAGGGAAATATTTTCTGAGATTTTTGAATAGCATTAAGAGAAATATATACAATGTTTATTTACATCCACCTTAAATCTACTACAGTTAGATTGACATTTTAGCAAAAATAAGGGACTTGGTTTTGGTCTCTATTTATGACTTCTAGAGTTCCCTTTAATCCTGAGTTAAGTTGGAAGGAAAAACTAAACATACAATTTAAGGAAAGCTTGATAAAGATGTGTGTGTGCATAAAATGAGTATATATCATAGAATTAGTACATACAGTTTTCATGCTCATTTACTTGCTTATCGTTGACCTAGATTAGATCCTTACTAGAAGCTATAAGACTGGTCACAATTAGAATTATAATTAATGTTTGGGAAAACCATGCAGAAAATACTTTAAAACAATGAACGAAAGTTAGATTCCTATTTTTCATTGTTGGCTTATTTTTGGATTTAAGAAACAGATTAGCTCATTTACCTAAAATACCTAATTTAAATTAGGTATTAACATTAATACCTAATTAGCATTATTTGGTATTAAAGAAGAAATAATAATGTGTAATTGTTTCTTAACAACTGGGTTAAAATAATCTTGCAGTAAATTTTTATGTTAAAATTAAACTTCACAAATTACCTTTAGTATTATTACTGATTTAAAAAAACTCCTACATAAGATACCATTTATATTTTCAAAACTTCAATTTATGTTGACTTTTAAAAATATACTTTTATCTTTTAAATGCATTTGAGAGTATTTTTTGAGCACTTGAAAAGCATAAATTTCACTGTTTGGGAAATGTATAAATGTTTTTTTCAAGAAAGTTTATGTAGTTTTCCAAATTATTTACTGATTTCTTAATTGATTTTAATTATTTTTTACAATTGTTTTTATTGACATGTTAACATGGTAATTCCATTTAATCTAATAATAAGGTGATTCCATTTGATCTTCTTTGGCATGCCATCTTTCTCTTAAGTCACCTGTTCTTATGAAGCTTTTTAAATGTTATTAATTTTATCATTTTTTTTTATACCGAGGATTGAACTCAGGGGTATTTGACCACTGAGCCACATCCCAGCCCTATTTTGTATTTTATTTAGAGACAGGATCTCACTGAGTTGCTTAGGGCCTCCCTAAGTTGCTGAGGCTGGCTTTGAACCCATGATCCTCCTGCCTCAGCCTCCCGAGCCACTGGTATTACAGGTGTGTGCCACCAGACCTGGCTAATTTTATTGTTTTTAATTACTAAAAATTCTCAAAGTATGTAGAATTGTGTGCATATTTTAACTACAAATTTAATTTGGCTTTTAAAAATTGTTACATTTTTGTTGTATTAGTTGGTCTTTGAATCCACATGCTTTATGTTTACTGGAGTTTCCCAAATTAGTTTCATGTTTTTGGATTTGTTGCTGATAGCTGGCTTTATGTGTACACTTTAACTGCACTCTGATATAGTATAGATTATTTTGTGAGTTGTGATTTGAATCATGTTAACTCAGAGAATAGTATTTCCTCATGCACAAGATGACTATGCTCTTAACCCATTTATGATAGGTTTAAAATCACTATGTGTACTGAGGGATGTTTTTGAGAGGTTCTCACACATATAAGGGTTGAAAACTAGAGTATACAAACTAAATCTCAGTATGTGGCAATTTTCTATACCTAGAGTTGTGATCAATTGTATGTGGACTTCGGTAGTTATATTAGGGAAAATTCTCCTCCTGAACTTTAAGATTCCAAACACAGCTTTCCTTAAATAAGACTGCTCATATTTTAGGTTTTGTTTTGAAGATTTTAGAAGAAACACACGCCTTACTAACATTGTTTGTTAATTATATAGAAAAGTACTTAACTTCCTGTTTCTTTATCAGATTTTCTATCTTATGGATAAATTTTTGACCGTTGGATATATTTGTTTATTAGTATAGAAGTAAATTTTATTGATATTACAGTCAAAGATTGGATCAGAGTAGTAAACTCAAAAGTTTCTTGTTTTTTTCCTTTTTAATTTGTTCTGGGAATTGAACCCAGGGCATTCTATGTGCTGGGAAAATGCTCAACCAGCAAGCTAAATTCCCAGCCTAGTGAATTAAAAACTTTCATATAACTGTAGTTTATTATGCAGATTTACTTCTTTAAAACAGGTATGAATGGATATTTTTATAAATAAATAATACTATGTTTTAGATGTAATGAGACTTTGCATTTAATTGTATCCTATAAGTAGGCTTTTACAAAAAGAATGAATAGTAAGTTCTTAATTCACCCAATCTAAATTTGGATTTCCTGGATTGGTTCAAAGCATATTTTCCCTCTTTTTTCTTCATACTTTGTTTCCTAGAATCCTCTTTCCTCTTTCTCTCTCATCACCCTCATTGTTTCTTTTCCCACTAAACTTATCATGTATGTTAGGTCTTTTTGTTTTTATAAATTATTCATGTACCTTGAATAAGTATTTTTCTTTGCTAAAGGTCCTAAGGAGGTCTGAATAGATTATAACTCTGTATTTAAAATTTATGTAGGAATCACAGAATACTCCATGACTTTTTATGCCACACTGATTATTTCCTTCCTGTCTTAATTGATTCTGCTCTAATAGAATACCAAACTGAGTAGTTTATAAACTACGGGTGTGTCTTTCTCACAGTTTTGAAGCCTGAGAAGTACAAGATCAATATGCCAGCAGATTCAGTGTCTGGAGAAGTCTCACTTTCTGGTTCAGAGATGTTGCCTTCTGCTGCATCCTCACCTGGTGGTGGGGGAGAGCTCACTCTTTAAAGTCTCTTTTACACTTATACTAATCATGAAGGCTTACTCTTATTACCAGATCATCTCCCAAAGGTCCCATTCCTAATAACATTATCTTTGGGGGTTAAAGTTTCAGGCTGTAAATTTTGGGGGGACACAAATATTCAAACCATAGCATCTTTCTTACTGTTTTAAAAAAGCATTGGTACCCCTCTCCTAGGACTGTTCCCCATTCTGGAGCTCACTTTTCCTCTTTTTTCCCTCCTTCCCTCCCTTCCTTCTAGTCTAATAAATCCTGTTACTTTGCTCTCAAAAAATTTTTTTTGAGAAATAAACAATTATTTGTTAATTTTTCAGTTTTTAACAATTATTCACTTGAACTAAGAACATAGTTATTTTTTTAAAAAAAATTTAATTTAAGATTTTGTATAAAACTGAAGTAGATACCCTTTGATATGAATATACTTTGATAAGATAACATTTTCAATATGAAATTATACTGTTTTTCTTCTTTAGAGGTATATTAAGGAATTAAAACAGTTTTTAAAAAGTATATCTGCGTAAGGATTATTTTCTTTACAAGTATATTTTTCATTGATTTTGCATGCTAATAGCAGTTACCCATTTTTACTTTCAAGTTTATTATTTAAAGGGGGGAAAACTCTTTCTTTTTATGTGTGTGTGTGTATGTGTATGTAATGTCATCTTATGGGAAACATGAGTTGATATGAAAAATGATAGTGATTTCCAATATGGTCATCAAATTTTATAAGCATATTTGTTTACTATTTTGGTTTTATTAAGAGTTTTACTTCTAAAATTGCTTCTTCCTTAGTAAAATATATGAAGAAACATTTAAAATTATATATTAAAAACCTCAATTTGGGGTCTAAAATATAAATATCCTGTTTTCCAGTTTTTATAATATTATGGTTTAGATGTGAGGTGTCCCCCAAAGGCTCATGTGTGAGACAGTACAAAATTTAGAGGAGACACGATTGGGTTATGAGAGTTTTTTTTTTTTTTAATTTTTTTATTGTTGGTTGTTCAAAATATTACATAGTTCTTGATATATCACATTTCACACTTTGATTCAAGTGGGTTATGTACTCCCATTTTTACCCCGTATACAAATTGCAGAATCACATCAGTTACACATCCATTGATTTACATATTTCCATACTAGTGTCTGTTGTATTCTGCTGCCTTTCCTATCCTCTACTATCCCCCCTCCCCTCCCCTCCCCTTTTCTCTCTCTACCCCCTCTACTGTCATTCATTTCTCCCCCTTGTATTATTTTCCCCTTTCCCCTCACTTCCTCTTGTATGAAATTTTGTATAACCCTGAGGGTCTCCTTCCATTTCCATGCAATTTCCCTTCTCTCTCCCTTTCCCTCCCACCTCTCATCACAGTTTAATGTTAATCTTCTTATCATGCTCTTTGTCCCTACTCTGTTCTTAGTTACTCTCCTTATATCAAAGAAGACATTTGTCATTTGTTTTTTAGGGATTGGCTAGCTTCACTTAGCATAATCTGCTCTAATGCCATCCATTTCCCTGTAAATTCTATGATTTTGTCATTTTTTAATGCAGAGTAATACTCCATTGTGTATAAATGCCACATTTTTTTTATCCATTCGTCTATTGAAGGGCATCTAGGTTGGTTCCACAGTCTTGCTATTGTGAATTGTGCTGCTATGAACATCGATGTAGCAGTGTCCCTGTAGCATGCTCTTTTTAGGTCTTTAGGGAATAGACCGAGAAGGGGAATAGCTGGGTCAAATGGTGGTTCCATTCCCAGCTTTCCAAGAAATCTCCATACTGCTTTCCAAATTGGCTGCACCAATCTGCAGTCCCACCAGCAATGTACAAGTGTACCCTTTTCCCCACATCCTCGCCAGCACTTGTTGTTGTTTGACTTCATAATAGCTGCCAATCTAACTGGAGTGAGATGGTATCTTAGGGTGGTTTTGATTTGCATTTCTCTGACTGCTAGAGATGGTGAGCATTTTTTCATGTACTTGTTGATTGATTGTATGTCCTCCTCTGAGAAGTGTCTGTTCAGGTCCTTGGCCCATTTGTTGATTGGGTTATTTGTTATCTTATTGTCTAATTTTTTGAGTTCTTTGTATACTCTAGATATTAGGGCTCTATCTGAAGTGTGAGGAGTAAAGATTTGTTCCCAGGATGTAGGCTCCCTATTTACCTCTCTTATTGTTTCTTTTGCTGAGAAAAAACTTTTTAGTTTGAGTCAGTCCCATTTGTTGATTCTAGTTATTAACTCTTGTGCTATGGGTGTCCTATTGAGGAATTTGGAGCCCGACCCCACAGTATGTAGATCGTAGCCAACTTTTTCTTCTATCAGACGGCGTGTCTCTGATTTGATATCAAGCTCCTTGATCCATTTTGAGTTAACTTTTGTGCATGGCGAGAGAAAGGAATTCAGTTTCATTTTGTTGCATATGGATTTCCAGTTTTCCCAGCACCATTTGTTGAAGATGCTATCCTTCCTCCATTGCATGCTTTTAGCCCCTTTATCAAATATAAGATAGTTGTAGTTTTGTGGATTGGTTTCTGTGTCCTCTATTCTGTACCATTGGTCCACCCGCCTGTTTTGGTACCAGTACCATGCTGTTTTGTTACTATTGCTCTGTAGTATAGTTTGAAGTCTGGTATCGCTATACAGCCTGATTCACACTTCCTGCTTAGAATTGTTTTTGCTATTCTGGGTCTTTTATTTTTCCATATGAATTTCATGATTGCTTTCTCTATTTCTACAAGAAATGCCGTTGGGATTTTGATTGGCATTGCATTAAACCTATAGAGAACTTTTGGTAATATCGCCATTTTGATGATGTTAGTTCTGCCTATCCATGAACAGGGTATATTTTTCCATCTTCTAAGATCTTCTTCTATTTCTCTCTTTAGGGTTCTGTAGTTTTCATTGTATAAGTCTTTCACCTCTTTTGTTAGGTTGATTCCCAAGTATTTTATTTTTTTTGAAGATATTGTGAATGGAGTGGTTGTCCTCATTTCCATTTCAGAGGATTTGTCACTGATATACAGGAATGCCTTTGTTTTATGCATGTTGATTTTATATGCTGCCACTTTGCTGAATTCATTTATTAGCTCTAATAGTTTCTTTGTAGACCCTTTTGGGTCTGCTAGGTATAGAATCATGTCACCTGCAAATAGTGATAATTTAAGTTCTTCTTTTCCTATTTTTGTGCCTTTAATTTCTTTCGTCTGTCTAATTGCTCTGGCCAGTGTTTCCAGAACTATGTTGAACAGAAGTGGAGAGAGAGGGCATCCCTGTCTTGTTCCAGATTTTAGAGGGAATGCCTTCAGTTTTTCTCCATTCAGAATGATGCTAGCCTGAGGCTTAGCATAGATAGCTTTTACAATATTGAGGTATGTTCCTGTTATCCCTAGTTTTTCTAGAGTTTTGAACATAAAGGGATGCTGTACTTTGTCGAATGCTTTTTCCGCAACTATCGAGATGATCATATGGTTCTTATTTTTAAGTCTATTGATGTGGTGAATAACATATATTGATTTCCGTATATTGAACCAGCCTTGCATCCCAGGGATGAATCCTACTTGATCATGGTGCACAATTGTTTTGATATGTTTTTGTATCCGATTCGCCAGAATTTTATTGAGGATTTTTGCATCTAGGTTCATTAGAGATATTGGTCTGTAGTTTTCTTTCTTTGAAGTGTCTTTGTCTGGTTTAGGAATCAGGGTGATGTTGGCCTCATAGAATGAATTTGGAAGTCCTCCCTCTTTTTCTATTTCCTGAAGTAGCTTGAAAAGTATTGGTATTAGTTCCTCTTTAAAGGTTTTGTAAAACTCTGCTGTATACCCATCCGGTCCTGGGCTTTTCTTAGTTGGTAGTCTTTTGATGGTTTAATCTATTTCCTCAATTGATATTGGTCTGTTTAGGTTGTCTATATCCTCCTGACTCAATCTGGGCAGATCATATGACTTAAGAAATTTATCGATGCCTTCACTATCTTCTAATTTATTGAAGTATAAGGATTCAAAATAATTTCTAATTATCTTCTGTATTTCTAAAGTGTCTGTTGTGATATTGCCTGTTTCATCCCGTATGCTAGTAATTTGAGTTCTCTCTCTTCTTCTCTTCGTTAGCATGGCTAAGGGTCTGTTGATTTTATTTATTTTTTCAAAGAACCAACTTTTAGTTTTGTCAATTTTTTCAGTTGTTTCTTTTGTTTCGATTTCATTAATTTCAGCTCTGATTTTCATTATTTCTTGCCTTCTACTTCTTTTGCTGTTGTTTTGCTCTTCTTTTTCTAGGATTTTGAGATGAAGTATGAGATCATTTATTTGTTGGTTTTTCCTTTTTTTAAGGAATGAACTCCAAGCAATGAATTTTCCTCTTAGAACTGCTTTCATTGTGTCCCATAGATTCCGATATGTTGT